GGCTCCTCCCCCTCAGGGGCCGTCGGGAGCCAGGCCGAGTCACTACATTGTATAACACACCTTTTTGATCTCTTCAGTTGAGACATTTCACCCATCCTGGGGCAAAAAAAACTAATAAAAAAGGTGCTGGCCAAAATTTTCCCAATGTCAAAATTTTAACAAAAATACAAATTAAAATTTCTATGAGAAAAGGAAATGGAAATTGATTACATCTTTGCAGTACAACAGAAATAGAAAACGGGGTCTTCAACCCTGCCTGGTATAAATTCGCTATAGGCAGCATATATTCTGTACTTAACAAGCTTTCTAAAACACTGAATTAAACTCTGCTCAGCTATGGGAAGTAGACAGGGGGAGGTTGTTGACTCAGGCAGACAAAAGAAAAAGTGCTTCTGGAACTAGTGTGCTACCTCTCAGATAATTAGAAAAACGCAGGTTAAAATGCTGGCCATGACTTATCCCCTCCAGGTTAAATACAATAAGTGAGAGCTGTTCTTCTGTGCTGCTGGGGTTGTAGTTATTAGTGTATGTAACTGGGTCACTGATAGAGCTGATTAAAGATTAAGCATTGGGGGATGGCAGGGAATATGAAACAAAAAATATTTGAAAAAACTGAGGTCAACCTCCCTTTATGCTTGGAAGTTATTTGGTGTATCCCCAAACACACAGGGGTGTGATTACATAGGGAATCTGACTTTCTGCTGGGCTGAAAATGGGGTTCCATTTAAAATAAATAAATAGGGTTAGGGTAAATCACCACTCAGGGCCATGCTCTGACTTTTGAACATCTAAAATGTAACCCCTGGTCACCTTTCATGGCAGTTACCTTCCCCTCCGGCAAGCAGCTCGCAGTCTGGTAAACTTGGGAATACAACCAAATTTTATGTAGGGTACACAAATAAACAAATGACAAGACCAACAAGGTATTAAAGTAATAGGGAATTGGGTTGGTGGTCAAGACCCTCAGTGGTTTGAGCATTGGCCTGCTAAACCCAGGGTTGTGCGTTCAATTCTTGAGGGGGCCACTTAGGGATCTGGGGCAAAATTAGTCCTGCTAGTGAAGGCAGGGGGCTGGACTCGATGACCCTTCGGGGTCCCTTCCAGTTCTATGAGCTAGGTATATCTCCACCTGGGCCTCCCTTGCAAATCCAGGCCACCCCCCACCTCAGTCAGGGGGGTTCAGGGGCTCCTCTCAGCTGGGGACTTGCTCTAGCCTGCTGTCATTGCACTACTCAGCTCAGTCCTCACTCCTAGGTCCTATCGAATTCCCAGTGGACTCAAAAGAAACCCCCTTTCTCTAAGGTAAGACTCTGTGTTCCTCTTGCCCATCTGGGCATGGCTACCCAATCTGGACCCATTGCCCAGCTAAGAGTGGCCCAGTGGATAACTCCACTTCCCCACGTTTTCACACTTACCTCCTTTTTCATATACCTGCAATTACCCAGCACATTTATCACAGATTGTATGTGTGGCACCAGGGAAACCCCAGGTTGTGCAGCTTTTGGCACTTCATGGAACTCCTGACATGATGCAAATTATACCTGCTAACAGGTAGGGAGCCACTCAGTTTTCCTATAGGGTCGTGACTCCTCAGGATGTCATGAGGTTATTACTTGGGGGGCTCGCAAGCTGTCAGCCTCCACCCCAAACCCTGCTTCACCTCCAGCATTTATAATAGTGTTAAATATTTTTAAAGTGTTTTTAATTTATAAGGGGGGGGGGGCCGCACTCAGAGGCTTGCTGTGTGAAAGGTGTCACCAGTACAAAAGTTTGAGAACCACTACTATAGGGGGAGTCAGAGTGGTATATGCAAATTAGTCAGGCAGCAGACTCCCTCAATTCTCGCACTTCACCACTAGAGGGAGCTAAAGAGCTGCTGCTCCAACTCCTGCTAGGCCTCTTAAACTTTCTAATTGTGTCCAGTGAATAGTGAGACATAGTTATGGTAGAAAAAATGACATCACTGTTACTACTGACCCTACACACACTAGCTCCAGAATTTTGCTGGAGAAGAACACATCACATATCCTAAACAGCCGAGGCATATTGCAATCTTTATTATAACTGACATATTAGTAAACTAAACCAAATTATCCCTTAGTGGGATTTATAATCATGTATAGTCACGTTAGATATGCCATGTTCCTTTGTTTTTTGCATTATTTTTATATACATTTTATTAATAATTGTTATGACAACTAATGCAAACAACTAGCCATTAATTGCTACCAAAGTCACTATTAATTTTGCCCCTCTAATTGTTTGATTCTGTTTTGTGACAGAATAATTTGAAAGGAAAATGAATTCCGCCCTTTCTGCGTGTTTGTTACTTGCTGCTCTTTGTGCTCTTGCCCATTGCCATCACTTTCCTCATCACCCCACCTGCGAGGATGACCATAAAGATACAAATCACACGGAAGAGCATGCACTGCTGAGCCAGGCCTGTGTCAAACAAGGTACTAGCTATGCGGACTTTACATTTAGATTCTATAAGCAGGCTATATTAGCAGAAGCAGACAAGAATGTGTTCTTCTCTCCCGTGAGCATTGCCACTGCCTTTGCAATGCTGGCAATGGGTGCTAAATCGGCCACTCGGACTCAGATTTTTGAAGGAATGGGCTTTAGCCTGACAGAGATTCAGGAGGAGGAGATACATGAAAGTTTCCATCATCACATCCACATGATGAATTGTCCTAACAATAAGATCCAGACAAGTATGGGAAATGCCCTTTTCATAGCGAACGAGTTTAAAGCCCTAGAGAAGTTTTTACAAGACGTCAAAACCTTTTATGAAACAGAATATTTTCCTACTGATTTCCATAATTCAAAAGAGGCTACGAAAAAGATCAATGGTTATGTAGAGAAGAAAACCCGTGGGAAAATTCCGGAACTAGTCGGCTATCTTGATCCAAACACTATAATGGTTCTTGTTAACTACATTTATTTCAAAGGTAAGGCATGGAGCCCAAATGGGTATTTATTTAAATTATAATCTTTGAATGGCTGATTTTGATCTAAAGCAAAGAAAACGTTGTTGCTGCTTTTTCTATAAATTAAGAGAAACTGTCATAATATAATAGAGCGCAGCGCTAGAACTGGACTAAATTGTGCAGAGCCTTGAAGGTAAGGACAAAAAACATTTATTTGATGTACCATAAAAGAGGGATCCAATAGTTTAAAATTCCTTTAAGATTCTTAGTTGGAAGGGACTTTGGAAGGGTAGAAAAGAAATAACAAAAACCAATGGGCAGAAATCAAAGCAAGACAAATTCAAATTAGAAATATTTTTTAACAATGAGGCTGATTAACCAGTGTCACAAACTACCAAGTGAAGTGGTGGATTCTCCATCTCTTATGTCTTCTAATCAAGAACAGATGCAATGCAGGGGTCACCAGATGATATTCCAAAGCCTGGGTTGTGCAGGAGGTCAGACTAGATGATCAAATGGTCCCTTCTGGCCTTAAACTCTATCCGAGCAGTCATGTTCATTTATTGTGTTTTAGGTGCCTACTGAGTATAAAACAGCTACAAGAAATCATTTTAATAGCTGTTTTATTTGAGGTACCTGCTAGGTAAATTCTTCCTAATAAAGAATTAAAACAAGAAGTGATTTGATTCTGATTTCCAGTCCACTGCTAAACCTTGGTGTAAACGTTGTTCTGCAAGGGCGGTGGAATATTTACAGTCATTATTTTATTTGTTATTCTCAGGTCAGTTTCTACTGCATGTATGAAACAATATGTGCATTTCCCGCACTCCTAGCAATATGGGAAGCCCAAGGGCTGTTGCCTCTTTGCATCACTAGTGGAACACAAGCCAGCTGAGTGGAGCAGGCTATAGCTTTGCTCAGCTCCTCACCAGTCAGCAATGGGAGGGGCATTGCTGGTTGTGGAGAGGGGAGCCCATTCTCAGGAATGGTGCAGCATACACTCTTGGCTCTTGGTCCCTGGAGCTGCAAGTGGGATTGTGCCTTCACCCAGTGTGGTTCTGTGCCTGTTGGCTCCTAGGGGTAAGAAGCATGAAGACAATATTTGGTTTGACATCTCTAGGTAGCAACAGTTTGATTTGGAATAGTTTGGGGGGGGGCAGCATTACATCAGAATAAATATTTAAGGGACCTATTCTTCTCTCCACAATAATGCTTTAAAGAAAACCAACAACATTTGTTCATTTCATTTAGTGGTTTTCATCTTGACTAATAACCCATTTACCCCAAACTCCAGCACATCAGCGATTCTGCTGCCGCTCGCCTGCAAAACAGACATCGCTTCATAATAATAAACTTGGAGTTACCCCCACCTATGAGCTTCTTCCCTTTGAATTAGTCCAATTTCTGCCAACAAATTCCTCTCTCCCTCCACTATTAAATTGCATTCTCTTTGCTTTTGATGATAAGCCTCCTGGGAAAATCCTTTCGATCCTTTCCACACTCTCGAGGAGGATTTTTTGGTGGATGAGAAAACCTCCGTTAAAGTCAGTATGATGCGCCGGGATACCGACTATGAAAGCCACTATGATAACCAGCTGTCGTGCTGGCTGGTGCAGATACCGTACAATGGAAATGCCAAAGCGTTATTTATTCTGCCTGACGAAGGGAAGATGAAGCAGTTGGAGGCTGCTCTCTTGAAAGAAACTGTGTGTAAATGGGAGAAATTACTTCAAAAAAGGTAACCCTTTGCCCACCATTGTACGGATAGATAGTTGATGGTAATTTAGGAGAGAATTCCAGAGCAAGGCAAAATATTAACGCAGGTATCATAGTTCAGTATTCTCCATGTTGAGTAAGTAGAGTTCTCAAATGATCCCCCAGCTACCTTAGAGGAGAGCGTCGCAGAATGTACAGCTCCAGCTCTTCTGACAGCACAGGCTGCAGCATCCCAACTGCTGGTCCCTTAGGACTCTAGCCAGGCCACTGATCTGAACAAGTCTGGCAGGTCCTAGGACTACAACAAGTACTGTTGCCAGTTGAATGTTTGAAAGTTCCTACTTCTTTCATGTTGCTAATGAGATTTATTAACTGCCTGGTGCCACTGACTCCAACCTCCTTACCCTAATCTCTGACCCCACTCCACCATCTCCTTGTCCCTCCAACTGCTCCTGTTCCCACAGAAGTCTGTTGGAAGGTACATGTCAGGGCTCTGAAATGAAGTTATGAACTCAGGAGAAGTTCATTTGTTATTATTAATTATTATTATTAAATTATTATTATTAATAATTATTAATTAGTATTAATGGTCCAACCACATCTGTTCAGGAGCATCCAGGCATGTACAAAAGGCTCACCTAGACCCTTCTAGGTGCTCAATCCTCACTCAGACACACAAATCACACAGAGAATGCCGATGTCTCAGGAATCAGAAAAGCACCGGGCAGTGTCATTAAATTGCGGGTACTCCGTAGTATTAGCTGAGTGCAATGTTCCACCATCATATTGTGTTCTTTGTTGACAGGAGTATTAATCTGTACATTCCAAAGTTTTCTATTTCGGGGTCCTACGATGTGAAAGTCCTGTTTGAGAAAATGGGTATTACTGATGTGTTTTCTAGCCACGCTGATCTGTCTGGAATTGCTGGGACGTCCAACCTGCATGTTTCAAAAGTAAGTTAGTGAACAAATGGTTTTGTTAACAGGATTTGTCTGTACCTGTGATTATAAAGTTTACATCCGAGACTATTTACGGGCTCGATTCTGTTCCCACTAAAGCCACTGGCAGAACTCTCACTGACCTCAGTAGCTGCTGGCACTCAGTCAGTTTTCTCTAGACTAGGGCACAAACAGGCTCATTACAGAAAGCACAAGGCTTCACCTGTAGTTTCTGAAGGTTGTTATAAAAGGAAATGGTCCTAGGGAGCAGCAAGTACATTAAGAATGGGCACAAGCACAAGAATGGCTTTAACTATTCCTTGCCCCCAGGCTAGATTGGCTCAATAGCAGCAGTGACAGTCACTTCCAAATCCAGGGCTAGGTTGTGATACCCTTAGTCACCCTTTTTCCTCAAGCATTGCCTCAGATTCCAGTGAGAAGATGGGTGAAATCCTGGCCCCACTGAAGTCAATGAGAGTGATGCCCTTGACTTCAATGGAGCCAGGATTTAACTGTGGGTAATAGGCTACAGCTCAAAAGAGGTAAGGTCATCAGAATCTGACCCTAGTTTAGCACTGAGATATTATCATCTAAATCACATTAGGGACAATAAGGACGTTCTGAGTGGGGTTCCATACCACCTCTGTACAGAACCCAGTTAGGGTTTGGAGTAATTAAGGTTCAGCAGTATCAATGCACAGTATGACACAAAAGCTGCACCGAAGAAAAATAATTCTGGGGCTCAGGGCCATGGATTCTTGATCATTGTTCGCCTGGACACTTCTGCTGGAACACGGCTTTGTACTGTCTAAACGTACTGACTGTTTGTAATGTTAAGGAGGAATTGCTGATAGTAATCACTGATAGAAAAAAACCTCTCTCTTTTGCGGAGAAGGGCAGCTGACTTGATCCATGCAGGCCTATCTTTCTTCTCAGTGGAACTGCAATTGAGAAATAACTGCAACAGCCTCTTAATATTGCTGGGTCTGATCCTGGAGTCCGGATACAGGGAAAACGCCTCTTGAAGTCCAGGGGAGATTTGCCACTCAGTGGAGTTGGGTTCATTGGGCTGTACCAATCCTGTTTGTATTCTTCCCATTCTAACACAGCAAGTTCAATTTCAGCTGCTGTTCACGGTCCTGTACTCACGCTGTAACATTTGCCTCATTTCCTTGCAGGCTATTCACAAGGCCGTGTTGAATGTTCATGAGAATGGCACCGAGGCAGCAGCGGCCACTGCAATAGTAGTTAGCAAACTTCTTCGTCCTTCAATTACCATTAAATTCAACAGGCCCTTTGTGCTGATGATTGTTGATAAAGCCACCCTCAGCACAATCTTCATGGGGAAAATCGTCAACCCGACTATAAAATAATTGAGGAGTCACTGGACGCATCAGTGCTTACGGTGGGCCGCAGCAGGCTCTCCTACAGACCACCAGGTGTCAGTGACCATCCCTGAACTTTAATTGACCTACATTCACAAGCAAATCAAACATATATATGGGAATTTTTAGCCTATAAGCAATTGAGATTTCTTCTCAAACAAAATAGCTAATGATGTATACAGCACGTGTAATAACAAATCACAGATAATCTGCCTAAGAAGGCCTATCATCTCTTTGCCCCAGTTTGGTAATTCAGATCATACTAATACATTATCTGAGTCCCTAGAAAAGCAGTCTTTATAAAAGGCTTCTACTAGATCCTCATGTAAGATGTAAAGTTTCCCAACTGAGGGGCGGTGTCCTGAATGCCTTCAGTTCTGGGTTATTCACTGGCAGCTTTATCACCCTGGAATCCTGGTAATGATCACTGCTCTGCCAGTCTGCCTCTGGATAGTCGCAGCCGGGGGGTCCAAGAAATTAGCAATCCCTTCCCTTATTGCTGCCCATGGCCTGGCTGTTAGTCAGCACGCTGCGAAGCCAGTCCCGTCACAGCTCTCTCTCTCCAACAGGTTCTCTCAGTTATTTCTCCTTCAGTCATCTTGCCTTCCCCACATGTTCCAGCTTTTATCTGGGATGTCCCAAAAAGCCAGAGGCCGCTCCAAAACATTTAGAATTGCTCTTCCATAGCACACACTAGATGCCATGTTACTTCCACAGTGATTGGCAAACAACTTTTAAAGGCACAATAATGAAACAGGCACAGAAATTTACATTGTCAATTACTAATTTTTCAGGTAATGAATAAAATAAATGTTGGGACCTAAAATTTTCACTCGTGCTGACTTTTAGAGACTCTCCACTCTCTCGCTGTTATGTTTTATACATCTTTTTAAGCCAGTTAAGCCTTTCAATGATGGTGACACCACATTAACAAAGCAGCATCTCTGGAAAGTGTCTGGGTTTTTAAAAAAGAAATAGTGAGCGAGCAGAACTTTTCTCAGATGGAGAAGGAAGAACAAGTTTTTACTTGCTGGATTCTTTTCTTGCTCTCATCTCTCCTCCACCCAGTCCCCCCATGAACTTGGATTTATTAGCTTTACATATGTTTCCAACAAATATTTAGAAAGCATCCAAAAATATTGTGTTTGCAGATCATAAACTTTGACTGTAAAAGAACCTTAAGGCCCATGATAAAGTTATTCAGCAATTTTTACATTAATAAAATGCCCTTGCAAATTTTGTATTGTGCACTTGGTATCTTATGGAGAGAACATAAATATAAAAGATTTTTTGGATTTTTTTACATCAGGATCAGATTCTGGTATGACTACTCGTGCTCTGATAACTTAGACAAAGTTAATGAGCATTCAGGTCTGTTTTCATGTTTGTTGAGTTTTCCTATTGGGAAATCTAAAATCATTATAGCCAATTATTTCATTTTATCATCCATTTATCATTCTATTACATGATGCTATGGTCTACTCTTATGCTATTTCATATATAATCACTGTATGCTAAACAGGTTTAAATTGTAGGATTATAAAAGTATAGGGATTGACAAGCATTTAGGAGTGATGAGTGTGTATTAGGTAAAGCATGGCTGAAACGCAAGGCCTACAGGATGAGACCTGTAAGATTTTTAGCTTAGCCAAACTAGGCCATAGGCTTAAGAATGCTTGACATGAGTGAGTGACCTAGGAATAACCCGATGCCCGTAAAGTCACAAGGTTATTGCATAAGATGTGCCAATAAGTGATGTTACAGAAAAATGGATTGCAATAGACTGCAATGTATTGTCCAAAACCGCAAGACACCTGATTGTAACATCTTTAAATGTCTGTCTGACCGCAGGGTACATGTGCATAAATGCTAATAAGAATAAGAGGAACTATGAACTACCTATGAAAAATGGGGCACCCCCATGAGGTGTGGAAGTACAGTTAAGGGAAAAGGGGCTGACACCTTTGTGCATATGCATAAGGTGTTAGGCATAGTTAGAATTACAATATATAAAGGATTCGCCGATTGGGTAAAAGCGGGATTAGCCACGGGAAAAACCCCAGCAGGAACTATCCTGATAGTGATTGGTGAGAGGTCCATCAGACCCTAGAATATCTTTGAGGATGTGAGTATGACTACACTGATAATTATTACATAGGTTTTTTAGGATTTTTATATGCATGGGTAATTGTAACTTTACTTATTGCTTAATAAAATTTGTAGTACAGATAAGGCTTTGTACTGGTGATTGTGTCTGTGGTCATTATCCTTGGACTTTGTGTGTTCCTAAAGCCTCCAAATCTGAGAAAAGCACCAGAGGCAATTTCACTCTGTTGAGCTTCAAACTGTAGCAACCAGAGCCAAACACATGGTGGTGTAATACAACTCTCTAAATTCACTTTAAACAAAATAAAAGGCTACACCATATGCCACAGGGCAGATATAAGGGATATGGGTTATAATCCTTCCCCTCCACATCTTGTTTTCCCACCCAGGCCACCACTTATTGACCAGTGTATGCTTGGTTAATAGATATCACATTATCAATATGTATTATTCACACCACACACATTAATATGCATTAAGAACACTATCAACATATCATATTGGGTATATTTATTTGTAGCAGTTGTATGGCCTGAATGGGCCATGTCCATCTATAATTCTGTTCTCCTTATGCTAAGTATCTCATAACTAAGGCTAAGTTTTAGTCACAGATATTTTTACTAAAAAGTCATATACAGGTCACGGGCAGTAAACAAAAATTCACTGCCTGTGGCTTGTCCATGATTTGTACTATAGACCCCTAACTAAAACTTGGGCCAGGGCTGCTGCAGGTCCAGGGGTGCTGCTCTGGGGGGGTGGCCCAGGACCCTCGCTGGTGCAGCGTATGGGACAGGCGGCAGCACACGACCCAGGACCCATGCTGGTGCTGGGGGGGGGACAGGTGGCAGCGCATGGCCCGGGACCATCGCTGGTGCTGGGGAGGAGGGGAAGGGTTGGCAGGGCAGCAGGCTCCCTATCCAGCTCTGCGCAGCTCCCCAGAAGCGGCCGGTATGCAGGGCCGGCTCCAGCATTTCTGCCTCCCCAAGCAAGAAAAA